AGCTCAGATATCATATTCCTCCTATCCTTTAATGAGTAAAACAAGGGGCTTCCTTCATCACACATTAGCCATATTTTCCTGGATTTAAAAAACACACATTTTCTACAAGATTTACATTTCAATGTACATTTCATAGTGTGTTCAAGAAGACAGTTATCATGCAAACACAGGTAATGAGTTTGTTTGTGGTTCATCTACATCTATCTCCCTGGTATTTGGGCACTGCTGATTCCCCTTGTCGAGACATCCTTTGCTGGTAGGCATACAGTGTTTGCGTAAACGGTACATGCAGAACCCTAGCTGCCTCTAGGGTTCAGTGTGAATAAGTCTGGAACAAACATGCAGTATCTATGCTTGTAGATCAACTCTCAGTGTTCTGTTTTCACTTCTTTTCTTTTTGGATTCCTTCATAATCCTTACTTATTATTCTACATGGTATTTGTCACAAAATCTGCAAACATACTTGTGTACAAGTGTGAATAAATTGTATGCAGAGCATGCCATCTGAAAGGCTTAATCTTGTATCATTCTACACTGTTAATGCCCTTCTGGCTCTCAGTAGACAATAAGCTTCACAGAATATGTCCATGTTTACTCAGGTAGGCAATATTCTACTAATTCTTCATTATCTGCTAAGAGCTAGAATAGCTTTAAAACCTAATTAACACCCTTTTGGTTCTTAAAGGGACCTGGTAACTTTGTCTTGGATCCTTTCAAAAAATCCTTGATTTAGCTCATGCTGCAATGATAATTATAAACCTATAGGTCAGTCAGGAGCCCCATGAATTTTACAAGCTGATCACCTGTCTGATTATCAGGATATTTATGATTGAAAATCGAAATCAAATTTCAAACGGTTTTCATAACACTACAGTCCATTGGGGAAAACGAGTATGGTAAAACCGGTCACTCAAAGGATTTTACTTTTTTGAGGCACTTCTTGATCATTTTGAAGGGCACTTTTTCTAGGGCTTCAATATAACACCATATCACAGACACCGATAACATGTAGGGCCATGCATCTCAGATTTAACATTGTTAAACGATCCCTTTAACAGATATTACAACCTTTTGAGAAACTACTGTCCATTTGGTCTTTGAATACCGTAAGATTTCTTCTCCAAAAGCAAATTAATGATGATTAATGAGAGCTCCTTTAATACATCACAATATGATGATTGCTCCTTTAAGACATCACATCACCATCTAATACTGTCATAAAAAACTGGGATTTGACATCTCAAGTTGATGCTTCCATAATGAAGAAAATGTAAACATTGCAAGCCAGCCGAAAAAGCCAAGCTTTACAAATATAACAAGCAGCAGATACTCTTATCGCCCGCAAATTTGATAAACATCGGTGATGGAAGTTTAATCACAGCAATGACAAGCCATCATCGCTGTAGTACAAAGATGGTTGTGATGAAGTAAAGAGACAGGGACAGGGAAACTGATGCCTCGTTCATACATAACACTTTAGACTGCCTAAACCCATTTACTACTGAATTCTGTCTTTTCCCATTGGCTTGATATGGGAACCCAACCAGTTCCTGTAGGCAATAGGTTAAATTAACTACCTCTGAAAAATAAAATTATATATGTGTAGAGCACTTCACACTTTTTGTAAATCATAGAAGACAGATAAGAGAGTATATAATCTTATTAGAGGCCTTTGTTGTACATAACTTCTTCTTCCACTCAAACCCGCTATTGACTTTGACATAAAATGGTTTTTATTCTGCTGAGGCACATTTTTGAGATGGTATAATGCATTGTGTATGAACAAGGTTTGATGGGTCTATCTTGCATGTCTGTGTTTGGGGTTGATTCATTTTGTTTTTTTAATTTTATTTCTATATGAAGCAATCAGTTGAAAGTCTATGTAAAATGTAATAAATATAGTCCCTGCTCTGATTGAATAATTGCATGGAGGGGTATGCAGGTGGAGAAGAAGAAAGGATGGAAAGAGAAGAAGATGACATAGGGAGAGGGAAGGAGAGAGAGAGAGAGAGAGAGAGAGAGAGAGAGAGAGAGAGAGAGAGAGAGAGAGAGAGAGAGAGAGAGAGAGCAAGATAAATAACAAAATGATAAAGAATGGAATTACAGAAAATAATATAACATCATCATGTTGACTTAGTATCATATCAGAAAGGAAAAAAGGAGGAAAATAGATGAAAGAACATGAGCCATAAGAAAACACATTTATCAAAAATCCGCAATAACAAATGAAGAGACAGCAAGAGACATACAAGAGATGTATTGTTGTCATTGTATTAAAAGAGAGAGAGAGAGAAAAAAAAAAACCAAGCGAGAGAGAGAAAGGTGAAGGCAAACTGATCAATGTTAGTGGATGAGGCATAAAAGACAAAGTCAACCTCGCTTTCAGATTAGGTCAAAGAAATTCAGGTCATATATTGATTTAATGTTCCATTAAAGGCCAAAGGGAATATCACATTGTTTTTAGTTCCTCGCATTTCCCATCCATGACCCCGACATACTTCATCCCTTGAACATGAGTTTAGAATTCCCTTTCAGAGACATGGAATGTGAAGACAATAGAAAAGGGTATCTTGAGTAGAACAAAAAGAGACATGGTACAGAAGATGTGTGGTGTGAAGCTGTCTGATAGGAGGAACACAAGTGAGCTCATGGAAAGGTTGGGTCTGGAGAAAAATGTGGTGGAAGTGGTAAAGAGAAGTGGATTGAGATGGATACGTCATGTGATGAGAAGGGAAAATGATGAACCTGTGAAAAGAGCATGGTATCTGGAAGTGGGTGGCATAAGAGGACCAAACATTTCATGGTTAGATATGATGAAGAAAGGAAAGCACCAAAGTTGGGCTAAATGAAGAGGATACTCGAAGACAAAAAGTGGAGGGAGGGGGTGTCATCATGGTGTGAAAGTCAATAACCCTTTTATATAAAAGAGGGAAAATTATGACTTTAATAAATGAAGATGATGATGAGAAGCTGGAGTATTGTATGGTCAAGGGACCATATTTGTATGTTCATTTAAATAATCATATTGGGGAGGGGGGGGGGGGTGAATAAAAACCATTACAAGAGTAGAAAATATAGCTAAGCATAAAGTGAATGTTTTAAATTTGAGGAACAAACTACATAAACATATTAATGTTTTGGGGTACCAAACTTTTTACAAACAAAACCACAGAGGGAAAAATCACACAACTTAAAAAAACAAAACAATTAATACTTTATGGGATGAGAGAAAGGGGGATGCATTATAACTGAATCACTTGTTTTTCTGGATACCCTTGCACTTAGTCCGATGATTCACCTAACATGTCAATAAGAAAGGGACAGTGGGTTCTGTTGGTGGCGGTCTTCGCAAATGTCAGTAGGAAATTTGCGGCCGTGTAAGGGAGGTCGTTAATCTTATTTGTCTCCCCCTTAACCTTTTCATATCTAGGCAAGAACAATTAATTTCTCCACCAGGGGTTTTCTCTCCAGCCATTTGATACAAGATTAATCTTGCATTCTAAACTGATGAGCATGTGGGCAGGAGGTTGTGTAGTTCCACACGTAGCAACAAAAACTTTACTTCAATTAGTTTTCAGTTTTTATTAAAACAATCCATTGAGCAAAGCCGTGGTTTTGGAAGTTTTAATGGATACAGTACACACTCTTGAAGGAGCCGAGCTTACACAAGTTTCAAAATATCTCAAAGAGGGCTGAGCTAACAAAATGTGCAAATGTCAGCGGGGTTATTCATGACAAGGTTTGAATGATAAGCATTACAGGAGACTCAGAAAGTGAGTGGGTGGGTGGGTTGGTGGATGAGCTGAAGAAAGAAAGGACGAGGAACTTCTCTATATAATACTCTATGATTTGAAAAATAGTTGGAGAAAGGAATGGAAAAGTAGATGGAGGATGGAATAAGGAGAAGGCCTACAAAACAGTATAAAAAAGTTGAGAATCATGTCATCTTTCCATAGAATGAGATGATACAAATGATGACAACAACCCATCATCACATGGCAGGAACATCACATGTTGGGAGCCAAACAGGCACTAACTCGTTTAGCTTTACAAAGAGGCAATGCCCTTCTGCCTCTAAACAAACAGTTTAATGATGTTGTGGCCTAAAACACAGAAAAGGGGACAATCAACAAAAGACCAGCAAATATAAAATAAAAAGGAGGAAAGTATGAGATATCACGTAGACAGGTAACCGAGGTGCTTTGCAATAGCTGGAAGGAGTATTAGTTTGCTAGATGCACAAACATGTTTGAGCTGATTGCCTGATCTAATAAAAATCCCGTACTGTGGGTTGAATAAACTTGCTAGAATAATAACATGAGTCCTGCAAGATCCATTGGAATATGAGATATGCAGTACATATGTTCCATCTTTTTTTATGGCTATTTAGAACATTTCCCTTACAGAGAAGGTTGAGTTCTGGGAAGAGGTGAAAAGTAATTTGTGACCATTATCATTGTTATTATACAAGTATGGAAGAACATCAGATAAAAAATGTTCCCTGAAAAGCATGGCTCGTCAAAGCCTTAATATTTTGAATATGGCATGTAACAGGATAAAAATCTGGACAGATTTTTACGCCACATGTTCATGTAGTCCCATATACATATTTCTGTATACAGTGCTTGTAACTTTACAAGGACTGGGCCAAAGTTCTTATCATTTGATGATTTCAGAACCTTGCAGTACACACATATACTTATATGGTAGATGATCAATCTTTTCTGATCGATTCCACACCGTTTCTTTCACAATGCAATCGCATGACCAGAACTCAACGTTATCTTTAACAGTTCCAATAAAACAACTAAAGGGCATATTTCTATATCTTATTGTATATCTCCCTAAAATTCTGGATAACAAAATATGTCATTGTTATGTTTGTACATCTCAAGAAGTGATGGACAAGGTTATGGAAATCGCCTTACTTTGAATTTCTGAAAGTGTTTGTGATCTAGTTCATTGAATATACTCGTACTTCCACATACTCTTCCTCTTACCGTTTGTGAGCTCATTTCCTTCTGTGTTGTTGTTGCCGCCGCTCGTCTGCCCAGCGATTTCAATCGGCGAGCTGCTCCCTGTGATGGCGGCACACGCGGCGGTGGTGGTCACGGTAGCGACGGCACTGCCGACATCATAGATGGCGCCCCTCTCCTTCTCTCTACTTGTAGACCTGGACACGGAAGGTGTCTTCTTGACGAAGGAGAGGAAGAGGTGTCGACAGAGATCCTCTGGCATGTCAACGTCAAGGTAAGTCTCCATGAAGAGCTTGAAGCCTTCATAGTTGATGGGCTGAAGAGGATCCACAAATGAATAATGATAAATGACAATATTTATATTTATAAAAAAAACACACAAATCTATCTTAAAAGATGCAGAAGTGTGGCTTTGAGAGAATTTCTTCCTAGGAGATATTATCTAACTACACCTCTTGAAAAATGTACATGGACAAGAGCCCTGCTTCATAAAACATGGAATCAATGAGAAGTTACAATAACAGTTGTAAGCTACTGAAATCTGATCTGATTGGCTGAGAGCATATTTGTCATAGAAATTTAGCTTTTGTTATTGATAACAAGTTTTATGAAACAGGGACTGGGGCCCGTATTCAATTCAATACTTAGTACAAAATTTAAGCTTTTTACTAAGTATTTGGCTTACATAAAATACTTAGCCAATTTTGGTATTCAATTCACACTTTTGTGTAAGTATTTTACTTTCAATCTAAGCCAACTGCATACCAGACTTAAGCCAATTATTTGGTGGCCTTGATTGGCAGGCATATGGTTTTCTTACGCAGTATTATATCCCGTGCACAATTATATCAGCGCGCATTTATTGCAATGCATCAATTGCGCATTACTTTTGACTGACCGTGCGATGTCACAATGCTTATCAGTAAGTATTTTACTTAAATTTTGACTTATGTAAGTATAAGTCTATAATGCGATTTGAATACGAGATAAGTAAATTACTTAACATAGCCATTTACTTAGTAAATTTCTTACTTATGCTAAGTACTGAATTGAATACCGGCCCAGGTACCAAGTACAGCTGGGTAAAAGAGAGGTAATAATCTCTTGCAAAGACATGCCAGAGTTAGAGCTGGGATTTGAACTGTGAAATACTGATCCTCAGTCTTGAGACATACATGTACCCACTAGACCAACACACCTCCACTTCCAAGACAAGTACCTAATAAGATGACATGGTTGCTTGTAATATCCTCTTTATATGCCATTATCAATTTTTGAAACGTTATGACTAAATTCCATCGAGTACCACTCTGAAAGGAATGATCATGGGTAGCAGTATGGGGAATTGCAGGGTTTGTACATCTACAAGAGAAAATATCTGTGGCTGGACAGATTCACATGTCTTGAGCAGTACGACTTGTCCTTGTGTAATAAACCTTTGAACACATTTTTAGAAGGATATGTTGACAGCAGCCTAAAGTCTATATACATGTTTCCCTTTCTGTAACGAGAGTGGCTTTATTCCAAAATTTGTTTCAATCACACTAAAATTGCTAAGGCGCTCTCCAATTTGTTTCCAATATCTCAGGCGCAATTTCTTTCCCAACACCAAGTATTAATGTTAACTAGAAGCTCACCACAGCAAAGTACAAACATCAAGACACTTTTTTCATATAGAAATTAACATTATGATATCAAATCATAGTACCCTACGAAAATAGTTAATTTTTGTTTTCAATGTCTTAACAATGGCAACTTTTAGAGGAAAACATAAATTTGAAGACATTTTATTTGCAAAAAAAAATCTGTAGAAAAACATTCAAGAATACCCTCCATTTATTGTAGTTCCTCCAGCATATATATCTATTGATTAAAGCAAAAACTATATGGAGTCCATTGAAACAAGAAAGACCCAAAGCAAACACAACGTGGGAGCAAAATATTTGCGTAGACCGTTCTTATGACATTCTAGGATATTCCAATTGCGTCATTAGGAGAGCAATTTTGAAGTGTGATTAAAAATACATGGAGGCCATGGAGGCATCTTTATATGGAGAGAGGAAGAAAAGGAAGATTACTCTCCTGGGGATGGGCTTCCTTTCCTAATAAATACCACATTAACAAGTCTGATGAGAGTCAGTGTTTCATATTTCATTTGAAGTGCTTCATTCAGAAGCTCAATCATTGGGTGCCAGTTGTCATAAAGTGGGCATGACTGATGCAGAGGGGGACTGGTCTTTTTACGAGTTTAATTATAGTAAATCCATGCTGCAGTTTCTAAGCTGCAAATTTGTAATTGTTAGAAGGATGCATCATCCTGATAATCTTTTTATAAAATTTGCTTCCATTAAACAGGAAAGGACACTTTCAAATTAGCAAAAGGGTATTTTACAGATATTTCAAGCTTCAAACATGAAGTTAATGAAGATTTGCATTGGAGCACTCACACAATAACAGAATGCCAAATTAATCACTGGCCACTTCAAGCACCCTTTTAAGGGTAAAATAAATGGAAATTAAGAACATGGTGTAACGGTGTCTCTGCAACTATTTTTCATTTATGTCAACCCAGAGTGAATACCAAGCGTTTACTTCCTTCTGGCTCTGAGCAGATACAATCTCTCCTATGACGCTTCCTACCATCTATGGGTTAGGGAGTGTTGTCAAAATGTCCCCATTCCTAAGCAGAATGGCACTAAACTAACTGAATGTATATCAAGTAGTACAGTCAAATCTGTTTCTTAAGGCCACCCAACGGCAACACACACTGTTCCCACTGTAAACAGGTGGCCCTTCTAAACAGGTTCTTCAACATAACTTGTAACATTGATGACCACTATAGGCAGGTGGCTACTAGAACAAGATTGACCGTTTAGGGTTGCTATCTACCTTAGATCTGAAACCATTGCAGTGACTACACCGTCTGCTGAAAACCAGAAGGACATTAACTCCTATACACTCACATATAGTTAACACCCTTTTGACACTCAACAGACGAGTAATGATGGACCAATGAAACTCACCTGCTCGGGGTTGTATTTGGATAATACTCCATTTCCATGGAATTCTTCTAAAACATCTTTGAGTGTTTTCCTTGAATCTGTAAAATCAGGATGAGAAAAAGAAAAAGAAACATTCAAATAATCATCATCAGACAACATGACTGATATATAATATTTTAAGAGATATTAACTTGTATGTACTGCAAACGTACATCTCATTTCTTGCTTATCAAGATATTAAAAAATCAAACTGATTTTTGAGACATAATAGCAAGTGATATACACAAATACTTCACACACAAAAATCATTACATCTTTACATCTTTACACATATCCCCCACCCCCCAAAAAGAAGAAAAAATCAGTGTTCCTCATTACAAGCACATCTCTGCTTTTATTTTTCCTTTCAGATGACGTCAATTTTTTTCAATCACTATCTTTTAAATCTTTTTTCTTTTATCATATTCATTATCTTATTACACTATTCATGAAAACAGTACCACATACGTCACCTTATGCATAAAGTACACATAATAATTGTATATATTCATCTCGGTAGATGTTAGTAAGATACAACATCCATACATAATAATGTAACAATATAAATCCTTGCTGATTATATTTACATCAATTGTTTGCATTATAAAAACTTATAAATTTTGTGTATCATAATGTCAATAGAAAATGTAAATTTCAAATGTCTAACTTAATTATTGAAATGGAATCCACAATTTTGGATTATTTTCAACACACCAGTGCATACAAAGATGGATTAATGTCATTCGTTCCACCTCCACACAAACTGTTACAGATTTAATAATGAAATACTAAAATAAACGCTTCTATTTATCCTCATTTTGTTTCCACGGTCAAATACACCGAATAACCACTCTACAAACTTGTTTACTTGCTTATCTCGTCCGTTCCTAATTGGAGAGTAACGGCCATTTGTGTCAAGGTTATGGTCACCCTACATTAGTGAACAGCCAAAACAATTACAAAATAAGAACTGTATCTCCGTCTATTTTCTGGCTGATCAACTTGGCTGTTTTTTCTAGGGTGCTTTAGTCTCTTAGAAGCCTAATCTCTTGTGAAGGGAGATATGGTCTGCTGAAAGTCAAAAAGGCGTTACGTCCTGTCCTTCATCAGGAGTTAACGCCCTTCTGGTTCTCAATAGATGATAAAGTGTTTGCACTGATGAGCTATGGGAGCTTTAGTTTTAGCGAGTCCTTTGAGAAGAGATGACCACGTTACTAGGAACGTGCTTGTACATAAAAAAGAGCAACAGAACGCCCGTTTGGTGAGAGGTAGAGAGAGAGAGAGAGAAAGAGAGAGAGAGAGAGAAAGAGAGAGAGAGAGAAAGAAGGAGAGAGAGAGAGGGGAGTGGAAAGAGATGAAGAGTGAGATGGAGAGGGGGAAAGAGATGAACATTGAGAGACAAGGAAAAGAGGAAAAGAGGTAAAGAGGAAGAAAGAGAAAGAGAGAATTGGAGAGAGATAACAAAAGACATAAGAAAGGAAGAAAAAGAAAGAAAGACAGAGATATGAAAGGAGAAATGAACAGATGAATAGGCAGGGAGAGGGAGAGGGACAGAGAGCATGAGAGAGGATGGAGGAGAATACGACCTTCAACATTGATTCATGAGGGATGGATGGTAGAAGGAGATCTAGGCACTGATGATGTCAGCCCTGCTTGGAGTGAGGGATGGATGGTAGGAGGAGATCTAGGCACTGATGATGTCAGCCCTGCTTGGAGTGTGTGAAGCAAAGCACCTTGTGTCATGATGAAAATACTGAATTATTTATCTTCCCCATCATCAGCAACAGTTTGGCGTGGGAGTACCAAATGGAGATGGAGATAAGGAGGGAGATGGAGATAAGGAGGGAGAGAGGGAGGGATGGAGAGAAAGAGAGAGAGAGAGAGAGGGGGAAGCTAACACAGATGGGTCTCTGACGTATTTTACTGTAGAGTGTGTGTGTGTGTCATGGTGAAGCACCGAGACGGAATCGCAGAAATATGAAAACAAGAAGAGCGATGGAGAAAGGCTTTATGATGTCACAGGAATGCTAGTCAGATTTTAATGTTTCCCTTGCACCCTCGTTAATTTTTCTGTTTCATCAAATTTACTGAAAATGTCTTGCATGCTCTTCATATGGGAACATGACAGTTAGTTTGTACTTCAGTATGCACAAAGAGAGAATTCTCTCCCTATGACGACAGAAATAAATCTGAATTAACAGACAAGTTAGGACATGATTAAGTAATTAAACTGTGCACCGCTGTAGCTTTGGATCATTAAAAGGCATGTCAGATGCCATTACAAGTGTTGAAATACCTAATTACCATCAGCAAAGTTGACTCGATCTCTCGTTCTTCATCCAATTAATCTCACGTAATCAGATCAGCCTAACCTCAAATGAAAAGCCAACAGGCCAATAAGAGTCAAACCCCCTTTTCACAGTTTGCCAAACGCTTTTAGGCGAGGGGGTAAGAGCAAACAACGGCCTGAATAACGATCAACCATTCTGCAGGAAATTTAAAGTCACCTTTTTTTTCTTGCTTGCATGTTTTAGTCATTAGCTATTCATAATCAATTAATGGATTGTTGAGATGGGTTATAAGGTGACAGAGTTGCTGGTACACGTCATTAGAGGGTATATATATGGGCAAATAAAAGTTGTGATGTGATGTGGGCACAGCTTTAATCTACATAGCAACCATTTCAGATATAACATACATTATTGCCTGCATGTACATGCATGCAAACTTCATACATGTACATTTCTATATTTAATTGCCTGACTTTTCTAGCCCACCTATATACATGTAGTTGTATTTCTTGAACTTAATAATATTTTTTTGGTTTTTCTTTTACTTTTTGCACCCAATTTCAATGGATTTAGAATAACTATATTAGAATCCAGGAGTAAAATAGCGGATGGATCTATTTATATATATATACTTAGTATATAATTTCAAACATATCATACCATTCCTAGCTTTCATTGCAAATATTACAAATTCTTTAAATAAAGTTCTGTCAGTATAGAAATTATACTTTTTTGAATGACAGAGTAAAATTTTCTAGTAAAATGCACTTGATTTCAATGAATTTACAAATAAAATAATATGAATTGCATTATTGCTGAGTACCATGAAAGTACTATGAACTAAGGAAAAAGTGTAAAAACTTTTTTTTTTTTTTTTTTACCGGATCTGCAATATCAAAATGTTGCCTGAAAAGGCCAAATACCAGTAACTTCCTTGAGATACATTGCTTCTTATCTTAGAATCTTCTTTGATAAAGATGCTATATCACTTTATTAAATCTTATCTCTACTTCAAGAATGGCTAAATGTTCACACATGTTAAAACACTCCACATTACAACTGCTCCATGCGGATGTAATCATGTTTTATTAATTTCTCTGTTTCCAGCATAAGGACCCAATTTAATTAAGAGAGGGAATGCTCACTCTTTCACTTGCGTAATCTGATAATCATGACATTTCTGTATTTCCATTTTTAAATAACTTATCATTTTTCTAAAAAGTTGTACTCTTCAAAATCAGGGAAGGTGTGGGAGAGAGGAAAGATACATACACAAATAGGGAGAGATAGAGAGAGAGAGAGAGAGAGAGAGAGAGAGAGGGAGAGAAATATAGTATGTTTATATATATATATATATATATATATATATAAAGGGAGAGAAATTGACTGGAGAGAGAGAAAGAGAGACACGAGACACAGAGACATTGAGATCAATTTCATATCTTTTTACTATTCATAAATTGATTCTATAACCAACTATAAAGTAGAGGGCCAGAAGGGTGGCAACTCTGTCTAAAAGTATGAGCTTACACCCTTCTGGTTCTTTCCTTGACAGATAAACCATATTCCATGTGCTGTATGTACATGTACATGTGCACATTGGCCTTGTCTACTTACGCGGACACACAAACACCTAAAACCACTGACTGGTCTATTCAAAGATGGTTGAAATCTTATACTCTTGACATTTCCGTATTCTCGGGTAAGCAATCTCTGACCCTCTCATTCTTAACTGCGCCAATCATAATTATCTTCTTGATTTGCATATACGCTTAAGAAAAGTCATTCCCCCCTAACAACGACAACTTCAGCAGATGCACAATCTGCACAAGTTTACTTTATAGGACAAACAAATTGAATAAGTTCTCTATTTACTAAAGAATTCGTTATTCATTTAAGAGTTCCATTTTGTATCCTAAATATATCTCAGATTTTATATTATCTAAATTAAATAGGTATTTGTGAGGTATGAAATCAAAAGTTTTTAGTTGCAATTAAGAACTAAAAACTAAAAAACAATGAACATCTGTTTAATGACTAATATTTTATTTACCTTCATTCATGAACTTATAGCAAGTTTTCATAATAATTTCAAAATAGGGTTGTTTATTCATTAAGTATAACCAATATTCCTTTAAATACTTCAACATTTAGAAAAAATAAAAATATGATAATGAGATTTCTTGATGTCCTAGGCAGCATTATATGCCTTTAGATACACTATTATTAGTTGATGAAAATACATGAAAATTTAAACCAAGAGTCTGATCTGGAGGCTAGGATAAAAGGGACCCACCATTCTGATTAGGGGTGCTAATTTTAGAACGTGCAGATAAATTGGCATTCTCATTGATGCAGAACTGGGTTAATCCTTCCAGTATCTCTACCAATCCACTTCACAAACAGGAAGATGGATGAAACAGGGAGCAGAGAGAGGATGGAGGAGAGAGAGAAAGAGAAATATACTAAAACAGAATACAGAGGATGAAAGGATGGTAAGGGTAGGAGAAAATCTTCTATTAATACAATGTACAGAGATGAAGAAAATGAGATGACAGAAATGGGGAGCGAGAGAGGATGGAGGGGGAAAATTTAATTAAATAATTAAATGTTTTTAACTACTATATATCAATTAAAAGCTTAAAGCTTGTAGAGGTGTTGTGGTCTAGTGGATAAGTCACCCGGACTGCAGATCACAAGGTACAGGGTTCAAGTCCCGCCGCAGCACTAATGTCCTTTGGCAAGACGTTAATCTATATTTGCCACTC